TTCCCCCCCCCCCGCTCCTTTTTTAAACAATTCACAAGTCCTTTAGTTTAAGGATCTTATTACCTCAGTTATTTCTTCAAGTGTTCGAATTATCGACCTCTTCACCTCAACCAGTAGATAAGCCTAATTCTCACATTGGCAGCAGCAGGCAAGGGCCAACGACTTAGAACCACCTAATCTGACCATCAGAGTTTTAATTTCCTCCATCCAGCAGAAGAGAAGAAAATGAAGCAGTGAGCAAGATGCTTGCAGCCCACAAGCAGCCACCCTCCTGGCTCCCAGGCTGAGATCCAATACCAATTTAGCCTTATCTGTCCAGAAAATCATTACTTGAAGACTTGAAAAGGTCAAGAGAGTTCCTGTTTTCACTTCTTATACTTTCATCTGCAGCACAAAGAGAGGGAGGAAGCTGACAAGCATGGGGCTAATTTGGTTCACTCAAGCACCCACAGGGAAAATATTCAGATTGTCTCCACAAGGCTCAGATGAAATCCATAATTCATGGCACACTCTGTCCCTCTCTGCTGGTAAAACATCAGCCTTCAAGATATGAGACAAGGTCTGGATGGAGGGGAATATAAAGTGTAAAAAGCCAGATGGGCCCTTTTTTTATTCAGTTGTATTCAGTGTAGCTCTTAAGCACCTGCTGTATACCAAGCATTGCAAGCTGCTGCCTTGAGGGGCTTACAGCCTCAGGAGAGTCAGGTAAGTAAAATGCGGCTTACAGAACTGATGGAGCTGCAAAGTAGCAAAAGGGAGCTAACCAAACAGTGATGAAGATGGTGGAGAAAGCCAATATAGGTAAAAAGATTGAATTATGAAACAGCACAGCATTATAGAAAACTTTCTCAGTTGATAGAGGAGGGATAGAAGCATGCCACTGGGAGACCTACAGCAGGAAGTGGACTATGCAAACCAAATGGTAAACACCCAGCATCAACAGGGTAATCTAAGGAGTGGCCCCCAACCACCCAAAACTTAGGACCCAATTTTAAAAGCTAGTACATAGGTAACAAGAGGACTAGTTAAGGGTTACCTTTGGAAAGTTAATACATATATAACAACTACCATTAGTTAAGGGTTATATTTGAACTGACTCTAAGTTAAAAAGTAGAGCTCAGTATAGGCCAGTAAAATCAGGAACACAAACACTGGACCTTGAGGAATAAACAGAAAAGGAAAGACAAAGGAGAGAAGGTATGCAAGGCAGAGGGGATAGCATGGGAACAATCCCAGAGGTGGAAATAAGCAAGACAATTAACAAAGACCTATGTCCCTGCTACAAATGGCTTGTGTTGGGAAATCATAGGCATTAGTATTATGGAGACCAACAAAGAATGATCATAGGGAATAATAAATACGTTGAATATCCCTTATTGGAAATACTTAGGACTACAGGTAGTTCAGATTTCTGATGTTTTCAAATCCTATAATATTTGCATAAACATAATGAGATATCCTGAGGATAGGATCCTAGTCCAAACACAAATTCATTTATGCTTCACATAAGCCTTACACATATAGCCTGAAGGTAATCTTTTTTAATAGTTTTAGGGCATCTGTGTTTTGACTGCTACCTGTCACATGAGGTGAAGTGTGGAATTTTCCCCTTGTGGTAGCATGTTGACACTCAAAAAGTTTCAAATTTTGGAGCATTTCAGATTTTGGATTTTTATACTAGGGAAATAAGCAGAGTTAGAGTGTTGTATACTCAACTGGATAGGGGAGAATTTTGAAATATGTTCCCTCCTGTTCCTTTCCTGTCCAACCCAGAGATATTCTATCTTCCTCCCTCTGTTATCCAAGGAAAACACTTTTAGGATGAAGATTATCCTCTACTCATTCTCTTTAGAAGATGTCTCTTTTCAGAGACTGGTTACAAACTCTGAGATGAAAGGTACTGATTGGAGGAAAAATGACAGACAGGGAAGCAGAGGTCTAGAGAAAAACTCTGCCTGGGCCAAGCCCACATGCCTATCCTGGATATGCACTGAGTAAGGTCCTGATTATGGTCAACACCAGGCTGAAATATGTAAAAAATAAAAACAAATAAAAAGAAGAAGCAGAGGGTACAAGACTGAAGTATAGGAGGAAGCACAAACTGACAGCAAGAGAAAAAAGAGAAGCAGTGAGGTAACTAGAAGAGATCTAAGAAAATGATGGTGAGTTCTGTGAATTGTGTTTTTAATTTTCTGTATCTTATGATATTTTGACACCTTCAGAACTTTGAGCACCAGAGAGAGAGAGACACTGCCTGTCCTCAGGCTAGCCAGTTCTTAGACACAACAAAGGGCTCAACTGGGAGCCTGGTCTTTGCACAATCATACTGAACAAACTAGGGACCATACTCCGAAGCACCTTCTTTTTGTGGCTCTTGCACTCTGGGAGGTGATATTCATCTGCTGATCACTGCAAGACTGGGACCCAGACAGCTAGGGACCACCACTATGCTCAAAGCCTGCCAGATAGATTCAAACTACCCAGTCCTAAGCTCTTTACCCTGCCTCTCCTGGCCTTTCCTACAGCAGCCATAATAAAAGCTCTAAGCCATCATTTCCTTTCACTCCTGCTTCTGCCTCCAGATCAAAAACTGGACTCCCCAGGAGAACCTGCATGGCATCCTTTTCCCCAGGATATATAAGTATTAAGCATTCTTCTGACAGCATCATTGGGCTTTCTGCATAGTGACTGAGTCACTTTTAGAAGACCAGGCGCAGATCATAGCCCCAGGTAATATTTAATCTGAAATGGAAATTTCCCTGCAGAGTCCTCTCTGATTTGAAATTACAGGTAATCTCTTAGATCTGAAGGGCCCAGCCAAAATGAAACAGAACAGGCTTACTATTTCCTGAAATAATGTATTCCAAATCAATAGATGGCTTTAAAATAGCAGCATTAATAGAACATCTAAAAAATTATACACCATCACTTCTTTTAATTAAACCAAGTTCAATAGATCTAAAAGAGTAAGAGGTAGGCAGAAGATTAATTTTCTGTTATTTATTAGCACAGTAAATAAACCTCTGTGGACTAACTTCAGCTTCAAAGAAATCAAATGTGATAAATGACAGATCCAGGGGAAATGTCTGTTGTCAGAAATACAAAGAGAAATGAACATATTTAATATAATGCCAAAAACAGGACTGCAGTTTGGAATGGCTTTGGAGTGGGTGAGAATGGAGCCCATTGAATGATGCAGCCTGGGAAAAGAGGAGGAACTCAGTTTTCTTGGGTGGAAGAAGAAAGGCAAATGATGGCTGGCTACACAGAGATATCAGGAAGTAGCATGGTAGCCCAGCAGTGATTCTTCCCTTCTTCCTTAGGATAAGAACCCCTGATATTTTAGCTGGGCATATGGCTGCCCAAAGCAGGCTGAATTCTCCAGATTGTTAGACATAGCACTAACTCCTAGGTGAAGTATAAAGTGATGTGTTGTGCGCAACCTCTGGGGTATGTCCATAAACAGAAAGATGTGCCTGGTTTCTCCTTTTTGCAACTGATTTCCTGGAATGTGAATATGATGGTTGGATCTCAAGCAGCCACTGTGGACCATTAGGGTAGAGACCACACTCAAAGTATAGGAGAACATTGAGGTGGAAAGTATCTGTGTTCTTGAGGATGGTGGAGCCAACATAGAGTCCTAAACCTCCCACTTCCTAACATATACTATCAAATAAAGAGATTGTGTTTAAAGCGAGAAGCTCAGGGTTTGAGATCTCAAGTGGTAGACACCAAGGAAAAGAAGTTGGCAGAGGAAAAAGAGGTTGCATAGTCAACACAATATCTGGAAATTGCAACCTCTTCCTCCCCAGCACTATATCATGCAAAAGTATTAGTTTTCTCACTGGGTTCTGCATAACTCTATGGTTCCTCAGTAGGGCCCAAATGGATCTTCTTAGAGAAAGAGAGAGAAAAGAGCATATGGATGGGATTCCTGTTCTTCTGACCCACTTCAACCTGAGCAGACCTCTCCACACAATTTTACACGTGTTATGTTTTTGGTGTTCAGCATAAAATTTTATTCTTAAGGAGACTGCAAATACTAAAATAGGGAGAAGAAAGTGAAAGATAAAGAAGAATAGTATTAATATACAGCCCTCCAAGCCAAAGCCATGTTCTCCACTTGGTAAATATGCAGCAGGGAATACCAAAGAAATCCCTGATGGAGGTGTCTGTCTGGGTTCCGGCCAGAAACAGGTAACATACTTAAAAGGAATGATTGAGGACCATTTTAAGGGATTTGAGCAAAATTAAGAAAAACTAGAAACAGTTAACCAAGCAGTCCACAGCTAGCAACAGTGGGGAGCCCTTACCACTGCTTGGCATAAAGAGCCATCTAGAAAGAACACGCAAGAGAAGGCTGTCAACAGGTCTGCCCATCAAGGAATGCAGACTGACCACTCTCTGACAGCAGGGAAGGAGCCAGGGGAATAAGTTCCCTGGTTTCTCCCTTTCCTTCACCTTCTTACCTCCTGCTGCTGTTGCCTGCTGGCCACATTCAACAGAACCCAGAGAACAAGAGAGACCCATGGAGGAAACGCAGCCTTCCTAAACACAGAGCAAGGTGAAAAGAGTGGAGAGTTGATCTGGAAAGGCAAATGGAGAATCTCCAGCCCAGTGGAGTTTCATTCCCTCTGTTGAAAACACACTCTTCTCCATTCCCCAGGTACACGTGTAACCCTGACATTCTCATGAAGAAGTTTCCATATGTGATGGCTGGACAGATACATAGAAACCAGAACATACAACACTTGCTCTGATTCCCTCAAAACCCAGTTTTGTTATCTATTGCTGTGTACCAAATTACCCCAAAATTACAGTAACTAATTTTAATAATAGCATTTATTATCTCACAGTTTCCGTGAGTCAGGAATTTGGAAGCAGCTTAGATGGGTAGCTCTAGCTCAGTCTCACTGTCATCAAACAGGGCTGTAAGTCCTCTGAGGGAAAATCCACTTCCAAAGTGGATTTTTCCCATGGCTACCAGCAGGAGGCCACAGTTCCATGCCACATGGACCCTTCTCTGTAGAGCTGCTTGAGTGTCCTGGTGTCATGTGTTGGCTGGCATGCCCCAGAATGAATAACAGGGTGGGGGACTTTATCTCCTCACTCTAAAGGCATGCACCCTCACTGTCACTCTTGCCTTACTCTAGTCTTTAAAAGCAAGTTCTATCCTGAGTGAAGACACAGATTATGCTCCATCTCTTAAAGGGAAGAAAATTAAAGAATTGGTGGACATAACTTTATACCACTACACCCACATCTACTTGTGTCCATCAGCTTTCCTGCTCTACTTCCTGCTGATCATACCAGGGATCACACTACATGACCTTCGGCCTTGAGTAGCAAGAGTGACCCAGAATTCACCCAACAAAACTGCACAATGAGACAGGCAATCCAAAAGCTGTAAGAAAAAAGGCCAATTGCACATCTGTTTGCTCATTAAAAAATAAATTATGATAAAGGATGGATTTAATTTCTCCTACTCTTCCTTCTCAAAAAAAAAAAAAAAACAATAACCACATAAGCATGAGAATGGAAAGTTAAAACACAACATGTTGAAATGATTCTGCTGAGAAGCCCAGATAACATTTAAGTTGGAGCCAACATAGCACAACTAAAGGCTGGGGTTTACTGTTTGTCTGCCTGTTTGTACAATTGTTTGTTACAAAAAGGAGTAATGGAAAAGAAGAGATGTATATCAGGAGAAAAAAATATTCTGGAAGTAAAATGTCAGAACTTTTTGTGGAGTGAGAATATTTAGTTATTGATAAACACCAGAGTTTAAAACATTTCCAAACAGAAATGTATTTGGTATTTGTTTTTAAATCTCACATTATTTGCAGTTACAACTGAAATGTTGATAACATTCCCAAGCACTAAGAAATTGATTCTCACACATTTACTTATAGCTTCTGGTGGCTTATGAGCTTCTGGCAAATACAATGTCTGCCTTTTTCTCAACTTTCACACATTCATTTGCCAGTCTAAGATAAAGATAATCACAGGCTTCATTCTTTCCTTGTGACAGATGAATAAAGCAGAAGTCACACAAACATAACGCTATGATTTATACATTTGTCAGCACTTGGTGATCCTTCCATATGTCTCTGGATTGCTTGGTATGGCACATAAACAGCTCTTACCACACAAAGGTGAAATCTCAATTTCCACACAGTTTGATCACATCTGAGCAACCTTGCAAGGTCATTTCCTCCACCTTCCATCCAGGATAATAACCCTATGGCCCCACATAAGTCATTGTTAAAAATCTAAAAGGAAATAAATTTCTGATCTCTTTTAGTAACCTTGTTTTTTTAACCTCCTACAAAGATTATTATTTTCGATTTCTTGGAACCTGTTTCCAGGAATGCTTATGTTTGCCCTTTTAGCTTCAGTAAATGCTTTAGAAATGTAAGTAGACATGCCCTAATTTGTCTCTGTGGTCCATTTAGATTTCTGCATGTTAAATTTTATTAAGTAAAGCCCATTTATAGTTTAGAGCAGTCATCTCTCATGCCAAGAGTGTCCAGAAGCAAGTGGGCACTTCTCTGATGCCACATACAAGTTGGAAGTACTAACTTCATCCTTCATCGTGATGGCCCTCCTGATGACAGGAAGTCATTCTGCACCTCTACATTGCCTTGTCTTCCATTGTCACACAGAAATGGAGAGGCCAATCTTTCATTTCTCCTTGACAGATGTCCAAGAAAGAGTTTAAAATAGGTTAAAACAAAAAAAAAAATCACAAAATTAACTGTTTCTGTAATATGCTTCCCCCACTCTCATATCATTGTCCTTTCCACCAAAACCTAAAAGATGCTGCATACCATTTTGAAAGGGTGTCTTTGTCTTGCCAGAAGGTCACTTTCTGGGAATTGATACCTGCCCCCGTACTCCAATTGAGATGACTATTCATGACCACCATCAAGTGAGGGAATGGGGACAATCTCCTTGGGCTCCAGATGAGAAGGTGCTGAAGTATTTACTTTTCAGAGTTCAGGATCTTGCTGAAGATTTAGGCTGAGACCATGCTCTGACTTGTCTTCTCCTTTTCTCCATCCTTCTCCTGCCCTCCTTTGCTGGTCTCCCCTGGAACACTTCTTTCATAAATGCTCATTTCTGGATCTTTGTTTCTGGAGAATTTGACACAAGATAGATACACCCAAATCAAAAAAAAATACCCAAAAAACAACAATACTAGTAACATCTTCAAAAGGAGCTGTGTCTTGTAGTTACCATCAAGAGTTTCTAAATTAAGACAAAATTCTGTCCTTGACAACTGAAAGAGGATGGTAGGAAAAATAATTTAATAACTGGTGAACTCCCTAGGATCTTCTAAAGATTTCTGGTACTGTGATCTCTCACCATCGCCAGGGATTTCCAGAATTCAGAAAAGAGCAATCATTTAATATTTGTGCCTGTTAGGGTGAAGGTATCCTGTAGTGACAAGCAACCTCTAATGCTGATGACTCACAACAAAGGAAGGTTTATTTCTGCCCAGCCATTCTCCAGGTGACCTTGGACTGACCCAGATATTGCTTCTTCTTTGTAATTCTCACTAGGAATGCAACATTCTGGGATAAGGTAGAGCTGGTCAGATAGCCCCTGGCTCTGTTCTAGCACCCATTCCACCCTCCTTAGCAACAAGATGACCATCAAGACTTCAGAACAGTGAGTCCTGTGGCCCCTGATATACCACCAGGGCATACTGTTTTCCAGGGTCCCTTAGCTGCAGTGCAGTGGAGGCAGAAACAGATGGGATTCCACCTGCCTTTGACAGCTTCCTTGAATCAATCATAGGCTTCTACAATTCCTTGTTGCCTATCTGTAGGTAATGAATCTGATTCATGTAAACCTTGGGGAGGAGGAGTGCTTTGTCTCAACAGTCTCAGATAAGTTGGTAACCAGTACACAGTAGATTGTGTCACAGTCTATCCCTTGTGCTCCATGTGATCAGCATGAACGGTTACTGAGATCACACGGTGACTCACCTGAGAAGGGCACCATGTTGGCATCCACGTCCACAGTCACCACCACAGGGGTAAGAGAATACAGCGAAGAACACATTGGCCCTCAACACTGCTGCCTGAACTGACACGCATCCCTTCTGCTCACATTTCATTTGCTAAGGTAAGTCACATGGCCATGAGTTACAGAAAGCAATAGGGAAGTGAATTTTACTATGTACCTGGAAGCATGGGAAACTAAGTATTTGTGAATATCTCTCATGAATGCCTAAATCGTTTCCTAATGTCAAGAAGTATAACTCTGAGAAATTAGCTGTTGATTACTACTAAAAAAAAACCAAGCTAGACATATTTAATAACTTTGTACTACCAAAGTTTCTATAAGATTTATTTATTCAACAAACATCTATTAATATAGCTAAACTTGGGCCTGGGAGGCAGGATAATATCATGGTACTTGCTACATGCTCTGGAATTAGAAGATCTGGGTTCAAATCCCAGATCTACCACTTCCCAGAAGCATAAACTCAAGTAAATCATATGTCTTACATAGTTTCACTGTCTGAAAAGAAAAATGGGAACAATAACACAACATAACTTATAAGACTGAAATAAACATTAGAAGTGATAATATAAAAATAAGTACTTAATAAATATTAGCTATTGTTTCAAAAATAAGTAGTAGCTGCCCTTGAGAAGTTTACTCTAGGCAACAGGTTATGCTTTTCAAGTAGTTTTAACTTAGTCTGAAGGATACTTCTCAAGGATTTATTATGTGCAGGCTGTTTGACTTGGTACTGGCATATGAGAATAAATAAGACAGAGTCAGTGCCCTTAGAGAGTGGATAATTTGGTGGGTGAGGCAAAAACATAAACAAAGAATTTCAGTATTCTCTGAGTGACAAGATGGAGTCTACGGAAATGCAAAAGAGGAACGTTTAGCTAAATCCGAGGGTGAATAGGCAGCATTTTGAAGGTGACATTTTCCTGAGTTGCATTTTTCCTGAGGTGCATTTTAAATGTGCAAAATCATTTAAGCTTTACCTCAAGGTTAGTGAAGAAAGCTTTCAAGTCGTAGAGCTCCCACAATGCCTTGCTGCTGCTGTCTGTCCTCTGCTGGGTGTTGGCTGACAGCAAGAGCAAGCCCAGCCACCCACCTCCCATCGATTTGAACTCTCCCAGATGTGCTGTTCAACAAGAACTGCCAGTCAAGACTCAAGACTGATCGGCAAAGGGCAAATACCCACCTGAAGGCAACCGTGCCTGCTCTAATGAAACATTTGATTCTCCTTGAAAAGCAAATTGTAGTAAACACATGAAATGTCTCCAAACAGCAACGGCCTTGGCATTGCAGGATCTATGAGAAATTCCACAGAGATCTATGACACTGCTTTAACTATGCAGAGGGAGAGTGGGTGGCATTTTTTGATAATTCTTTTCCATGATTCAGAGGCCCTTGGGAACACAAAGGCTCTGACTGCATTAAAATGAATATTGGCATCTTTAAGTTCCATGTTTCTTATCTCTTAACCCAGAAAGACTAACTTAAATTTTCCTGAGGACCACAATCGGACACAAAAATGGGAATAAGATCATCAGACCACACACCTCAGTATACTTTTCATATTCAAAAGGGAATACATATCTAATCTAAGCGTGAAGCCAGAGGGCCCTGTTTTTATTTACAATCTACTTGAAAAAGACAGTTTCTATGGCAGCAGGAAATGTGAAGGTTTTTTCAAAGGAGCTATTGAATTGACAAAGATTCACCCACCTCATTAAAAGTCTTTCTTCTTCTTTGATGATATGCCAGAACAGATGAATTTTCAGCAATGTATGCCACGATGTTTTTCTTACATTTGAGAAGATACACTGAGAAGGTTTTTACTTTCTTCTCTACACTGGGTTTCTTCCCAGGTCATACATCTGTGAATTTGTAGACATCCATAAAAAAGGGAAGGGACAACAGTTAATTACTTCCATTAGGTGAAGAAACAGTGGGCGTGTGAGAGTGAGAGAGGGAAGTGGAAATCTGCTATTGATGCTTTGAAAGGACACAGTTTAAGAATTCCAGTCAGGAGACCTGCTGATATGCTGATAAAATAAACTGCTTGCATAATTGATAATTATTCCTGTAATCAAAGGAGAAAATATTTAATCTGTCTTTTCATTGCATATGATTTTTGCCAGTGGACTCAGCATTCTTTTGAAGTTGGAAATGCAAGCTTCTTGCTTTCTGATGTTAGGGCTCATCTCTATTTACACAGGCTGAAAGTAACAGTCATCAAGAATCCACAGAATGAGAAATGCCATCCTTAAGAATATCTGGGCTAGGGCCGGGGATTTAGTTCAGTGGTTCCTCTGTCTACCTTGCAAGCAGAAGGACCCGCGTTCGATCCCCGGTACCAAAAGAAAAAAAAGAATATCTAGGCTTGGCTTGCACCATATCCATTCTAAAAGAACAGCAATGTTAAGAGGGTGGGAGATGATGTAGACATGAAAGAATGGAAAGAACAATCCCAGGTCACCATACAGGCACAGACAATGCCTCTCAGCAAACCTCTTGGGCCCCATAGCAATTCTTCCAACCAGACTCTTGAAAATTCTTGATTTTGCTTTAAGAATTTGGCCCTACTAGACAGCCCTCATAGGTGGGGCACCCAAGACAGCTCTAGCCTAGCTTCCCTTTGCAAGGGCCAAATTACCCACTGAAACCATAGCATACTGCTCCACTGGAGCCCTCTCTCCTTACCCTGCTATCAGAGACAATTCCAACCAAAGTCTTTTATATCTTATACCACAAATCCCCAAATACTTCAAGTTCTCCTGAAGACTCTCCCAGGTCCTTACTCTAGAAGCAACAAGAAGAGGACTTATGATGTGCTCAAGAGAAGTTTTCATGAAGTCCTTCTCACACAACTAGGCAACCATGGTGTGGTATAAGCCTCAGATCTACACATGCTCATAAGCCAAAAATCTTTCCCTCCTTCATGCTAGCATAAAAAAATACTGACATCATTAGAACATCACCATTCTATAACCCCCAACAAGTTAGAATCTGGGCATTGAGCAACAACTGTGCTGACAAAGAAGGACCAAAAACATATATGATGTGGCTCTTGGAGAGAGAACACATGACTGCCTCTAGCCTCACCCAGAAGAATTGAAGCAGCAACTGATTGAGCCTTTGGATCCAGCTGCCAGTTTTCAGGAAATGCTGGAACAGAGGGACTTGAACTATGCTTTGCATATACAGCCTGCAGAATCCAGACTTCAGGAAGTTCTATGGGTCAAAGAGTTCAACCGATATATCATAAAATAAAGAAAAGGACGGGAGGAACTTGCAAATTAAAAGGGATTTAAAAGGCATGTCAAGCATTTTTTAATATGGCCAAGACTAAACTATAATGTCTGGATGAACACTTCAGTGATAACCTCATAAAAAATGTTACATCATACTTACTATACAGTTAGGCTATATTTCATGAAAGGAAGGGGCCTAGATTTGGAATGGACATACAGAGGGTTTCCATGGTAACTGGCAAAATGTTATTTCTTTACCTAGGTAGAGTTAAGAGCTCTTTGTTTTATAATAATTCACTAGTCAAAGGTTTTGATCGTCTGGATCTGTGTTTTATTTGACAATTTAAAAAATGTACAGAAAAAGGAGAAAAGCAAGACAAAAATTATGTAGAAAACAAATTAGAAAAATGTTTCTCCCTGATATGGTAAGCAGAATAATGGCTCTGCAAGGACATCCACCTTTTAATTCTCAGGACTTGCAAATATATCGCCTTGTATGGCAAAAGAGAGTTTGTATATGTGATTAAGGATCTTGCCATGGAGAAATTACACTGGATTATTTAGATGGGGCAAATACATTCACAGGAGTTCTTAAAAGTAAAAATATGGGGCAGGAAAAGCAGTGTCAGAGAAGTAGATGTGATGAGGTTGCTGGTTTTCAAGGTGGAAGGGAGGACAGGAGCTAAGGTGTCCAGAAGCTGGAAAAAACAGAAACAGGATTCTATTTTAGGGCCTCCAACATGTAATACAGCCCTCTGATAGCAATGATTTTCACCTAGGGACACCCATGTTAAACTTCTGATCTCAGGAACTATAAAATAAAACAATTTATGTTGTTTTAATACACTAAATTTGTAAGCATTTGTTACAGCAGCAACAGATAACCAAGACAACATTTTTTACAAAAGCAAGAGGTAGCAGGAGGGCCAAGGTCACAAAACTAGTTGGGCTTTGTAAAATGTTTGTCAAACATTGTTTCTCAGCTTTGACATTTAGAAAAAATAACTCTCACATGACAGGAAAAGACTCAAAATTAAAATTTTGTTTTCCTAGGCAAAAGAAAAGTCTTGAAAGGAAAGCATCAAAAAGCTCAGAGAATCAATGACCAGGTTGGTTACAGAGAGAACAAAGACAACTGTAGCACACAAAAAGTAAGAAGATTCTGTTGATAGTGAAGTCTCCTTAATTAGAAAAGAATGTGAATCTGTCATTCATGGTACAAGCCAGACACTAAGACCTGAGTAAAGAAAGGAGAGGTGGCTGGATGCTGAGTGGCCAAACAGTGACAAATACTTACTGCAATTTCCTTATTATCATTATTTATAAATGTATTCATGAGCTTGTCTTATTCCCTTTGAAGCTTCTATAACAAAATATCATAGACTAGGTGGCCTAGCGACAACAAAAGTGTATTTCTCATGGTCCTAGAGGCTAAAGAAATCCAAGATTAAGGTACCAGCATGTTGGGTGTCTGGGAAAGGGCTCACCCTCATTAACTGTGCCTTCTTATTGCACCCTCGTGTGGTAGAAGGGGTGGCAAAGTTCTCTCTTTTATGAGGGTACCGGTCCTATTCCCTGAATGGTACATGCCATTCAAAGACTCTGGCCCTACCTCTTAATACCATCACCATGAGGTTAAGATTTCAACAAAGAATTTTGAGGAACCCAAACATTCAGACTATACCACAGTCCCTTCCCAAAGCAACAATGTCAGAGATGAGATCAGCTACTGAGAATGAGTAGCACAGTAGGCAAAGATGGGTAGAGAGACTGAGTTAAGGCATTTCCCAGGAAAGAACTGAAGGAAGTATGGAGGAAATGTAAGAAAGGAAGTGAAGAGAGGGGCCAGTCAATGGCAGTGGCAGACAGGAGCCTTGGGAAAATCCTGAAGGTAAGACCCCAGCCTGTCTTGTTCACTCAGGGATAGTCTTTGGTAGATTGCACTGCCTATAGTTGACTTTGCAACAACTCAACCTGACATCATAGATTTCTGTATGAAGTACAGGAGAAGAGAAGAAGAAAGAGAAAGAGAAGATGAAGAAAAGAAGAAGAAGACAGGAGGAGAAGGAAGAGCAGTAGGACAAGAGGGGAAGGCTTCTTAATTTATTAATTATACTGATGCAATGAAAATACATGTGGCTTCCCTCTCCTTTGCAGGGCTTTACCTTTCCACTATCTCCTGCAAGTTTCTACTCACAGTCCTTCACATTATCATCTACAGAAATGAAATGCTGCATTTGAATATTGCTGTAGGCACAGTTTGACCTTTAAAATGCATTATTTAAATATTAATAACATAGGAAGAAAGCAGCCTACTGACAGGTGTTATACAAGTCAGACCAAATAGGATACTAAATCTGTGAGTGGCTTTGAAACTCCCATTAGAGATAATGAGGATGAGGCATGTATTTCCACACATTGTCCAACACTCAGTCGCTCCACATTCAGTCAGAATAAATTAACTGAACATGATGTTTGAAGGGAAAGAAATCATCATCCTCCCTTCAAACTGCTGCTTAATGACTTCTGCAGCTCCACATGGCGAAAACAGGAAAGGGCCTGTTTGCTTCTCAGACTTTGAAGTGAATGCCACGTCGCTTGCTAAGGCTGGATTCCACACTGATGAATGAGAGCTGCAGCCTTGACTCACAGAGTGTCCCAGGCTGACCTCTTTACCTGCACATATCTCCACCTTAGTGGCTCACCAGGTGCTCTCCAGCCACCTTGTGGGTCTTTTGGATACTTTCACTGGAAACTCAGACATTGCAGGCTGCAATGACTTACACTTTCTAAGGCATCCAAAAAAGTAAGGACTTCTCATCTCCTTCCCCCCACGCCCAGAATTTCCTCAACTTCAATACAATTAATTTTGGGGGCCAGATAGTCCTTTGTGGTTTGGGGTATCCTTTGCATTCTGGGTTGTTTGGCAATATTCCTGGACTCTGTCCACTAGGAGCCAGTCCTCAGTTATAACAGCCCAAAGTGTTTCCAGATGATGTCAATGTCTCCTGAAGGCAGGCAAAATGGCCCCATTATGGTTTGGATCTAGATTGCCCCCCAAAACTCTCATGTGCTCAGAGCCCTGGCTTTTGGAAAGGGATTAGGTCATGAAGATGCTATACCCATCAGTGGATTCACTCACTAATGAGTTCTGCAGCTGACTCTGCTGTTAGGAGATGGGGTCTGGATAGAGAAAGCTCACTGGGGGCATGACCTGGAAGGTTTTATCTTCTTCTCCGACTTCTCCCTTCTCTCTGTGCTTCCTGGACACCATGACAGGAGCAGCTTTCCTCTACCAGACCTACCTACCATGCCCTGTCTGCCTTTAGCTAACTTTGGAATAAATCCTGTTTTAAAAACATGAGCCAAAATGAACCTTTCCTCCTTTAAATTGTGGGCATTGGGTATTTTGTCCCTATGAAGAGAAAGTGACTAAGACATCCCCAAATGAGGATTTGGCCTAGGCAAATATGTTAATTCTATGTGTTGTAGGGGAGGCAAAAGTTTACCTTGAACCTTTCAGGATTTTTCAGCTAGGGCTGAGAATAAAATAGACATAACACAGATCAATGCAAGAAAAGCATACAAATTAATTTAATATAGGTTTTATATTGTATGGAATTTTCATAAGGAAATGAAGACCCAAAGATGAAGTCAGAGACAAACACATGTATATATTGAATTAGACCAAGATTGGTAAACGCTGCAAATGTGACAAGAAAAGAAGGGCTTGCCCTAGGGTCGTTAATTAGATGGAGAAGTAGCTAGAAAAATGAATATTAAACTTACAAGATAAACTTACAAGATAAATGAAGATAAACTTACTTATTTGTACAAATTTCTCTCAGCCTTAATTTTCCATCCTTGATGATAAGTTAATGCTTTCCTTCTGGAATAGGCAGGGCATCTTTGACATGGGAGTTTTATCCCCACTCTAGAAACGGAAGGAAGGCCAGAGTGGTCTTCTTCACCTGCTACTTTTCAAGTGCTTTTATTTCAAAATAGTCAGTATCCCAGAACTGCACATTGTTACTCCTTCAGTGCCAGGTTGCTCAGAATCCAGTGGCCTGTACAACTCACTTGTTGATTAAACCTGATATATTCTTCATAGTACCCTGGGCCAGAAAAGGGAGTTAAACTTGTAATATAATGTAAAAGTCCAGGAAGATGACTTTGATTCAGTCACCTGAGAATGAACTAAGAGAAGAAACCCATAATTTCTTAGGGAATTCTTTCATCATGCTAGGTCTTGCATACCATAGTTCTAATGCTCATTCTAGAAATAATATTCATTGATCATCAGGCACCATTTCATGAGCTATGGTATGAACAATCTAGATGTCATATTCTTATGTTTGAATTGACTTGAGTTAGATATTTTATAATTTTTGCAATTATGGTTTGGTATTAATAATATCATTTAAATAACCAAAACAACAACTGTGCAATGGTCTCATCCTTTGGGACCGTTCTTGGGAATAACAATGATCTTATGAGACACTGAGGAGTTGCTGATAAAAGTGGAGAGTAGAGACAGCAGCACCAACCAATGAGCCAGTCAGTAACAAAATTTATGAACACTTGCTGGGGCACTGTGGTGACCCATAGAAGGACATTTTTCCACTGGTGCTGTCCACTTATGTATTTTTGAAAATTTGCTGATGATAGGAGCAAAAACTTATAATAATAATTTGCAACTTTTAATTAAGAATAAATTTACAATTTGGGGGTAACAAGTTCATTTCATGCTAGACACTGTTTTATCAGACCACTAGTACCCTTGATATAGGAAACTGTGTGTGAATTCCTCGCAATAGGTTAGGATAAGCCCATCCTGGATATCTCAGTGGGATCTCCAGTCCACTAACATATTCGTGTGCTCTTTTACACAGTCTGAGCCTTGACACATAGCAGTGGTTCCCCCAAGTGCTCACACCCAGGCATCATCAGCACCCAGAAGCTTGCTAGAAATGAAGATTCTTGGTCCCATCCATCCCAGGTGTCCTGAGTCATGGGTTCTGGGTGGAGGCAAGCAATCAGTGCTTGGCAAGCCCACCAGGTGATGCTGAAACAGCTAATGTTTGAGACTCGCTGACCTAGAAAATGAGTTGCAATGAGAAGCTAAGCCAAACCCCAAGTTCATGAAATTTCCCATTTTTTTTCTACTATAGTTTGGATCTTGAATATCTCCCTAGGGCTTCTGTGTTCCTCTTGGTCCCTAGGGTGGCATTACTAGGAAGTGGTAGAATCTTTAGGAGGCAGAACTTAGTGGGAGGTCTTTAGGTTATTGTAGGAGTGAATCCTTCAAAAGTTGGCCAAAAGTTGACTAATACACTTTTCTACTACCAAATTCTATGTAGTATTACCAACATTACAAACACTAAGAGTATTGTTTGCAGCTATATTAGAAGAAGAATAGTGCAGAAAAAATAGAATTGTAGCCCCTCTTTCTACCTTGAAATCCCTGAAATACATAAGAATCTGGCCTACACCCACTCAAACTAAGAAATTCAGAATTATGAGTATCTTGGCAACTTTCTCTTTATCCCTCATACATATGCATTATTAGAGAGCATATGTTGTTTAATCAAAAGATAACATTACACTGGGTAATGTTCATGAGCACTGGCAAATATTTCACTTGCAAGCTGTCATTTTTAATTATCCAGAAAAGTATAAATATTCACATTTAGCCAAATTCCTTCAACTTCCTCCCTCTGTATTGCTTTTGGAAACAGCAGCCTCAAGCAGGAGTCCCATTGCTCAACCAGACAAGTCTCTTGAAATGCAGACCCCACTAACTTAAACAAATATTCTATTTCTAATTGGCAAAATAAGGTCATGGTGTGTGGAGAAGACTAAGACTCTGACTGGTAGCTGTGCAGAAAAGCTGGGCTGGCATCACATGTAAACATGCCAGGCAAGACCTGCAGTTCTGTCCAGGTGGATCCTGAGTCAACATGCAAGATTCAAATCCCAGGTGTCTGTCTTCTGGTCCCCACCTTGTAAAATGCAGACAAGGGTCCCTAATAGAGTTGCTGAAGATTATATGAGCTAATGCAGTCAGCTAATATTTTCACAGTCCAAACCTTCACAAGTCAGTGATTCCCAAAGTGCTCAGATCAGAGCACCAGCAGCACCCAGAAGCTTGTTAGAAATGAAGATTCTCGGCCCCGTCCATCCCAGGTCCTGAGTCATGGGCTCCAGGCGGAGCCAAGCAATCCATTTTCAACAAGCCCACCAGGTGATGCTGATACAGCAAAAGTTTGAGACTCTGTGACCTAGAAAATGAGTTACACATTATGAAACATAAGGATATATATTTATATAATCTGCTTTTTGACCTATTTTTTATGAATATAGTTTATCTGCTCATAATTATCATATGATGTGACTATCAGAAGTATAACTTTGTGTTTATGCAGGTAAAAATATGTACGTTATTGTCTATTTTAATGTGTAGAGAGACCTAGGAAGTGTTTTTATATGTTGCTCAAATAAATTTCCTTTTAACAACATAAGTAGGGCCAGGAATGCAGAGCATTTAGCTAGCACATGAGACGCCCTCAGTTCAATCTCTAGCACTCAAAAAAAAAGTAAATAAATATATGTTAGAAGATTTTTTTCCAGAGTTATATGTTTTTTTACTTTCAGTACTTTTATCTTTAAGGATTGTAGACATTAGAGATTTTGATCTTTTGGATTTCAACATTTAGGATTATGGCATTCAAGATTATGATTTTTTTAAATTATGGCCCACACTTGCCCAGAAATTTATCATCATGGAGCCCACACCTAACAGCTATGCTCTACTGCTTTTCTATAATAATTAAATAGCAATTTAGCAAATATTAATTAGGTGAACATGAATGCCAAAACACTAATGCACCTGAGAAAGATAAAATCAGGCAGCAACTCCTCACCAAAAACCTTAGCACTGACCCCAGAGGACTATGGGTTTGGGAAATATGAAGTATAGCCCAAGTATAGATGGTGGCACACAATTTTGCTGTATTTAAAGAAGAAAGTATAAAATATTTAGTTCTCAAGTGCAGTAGAAGCCAAAGATTTCAAATCAGTCTGAACCAAAAAGTTAACTGCACACACCAACCTCACAGTCCTCATTTGTAAATTAAATTTAAGAAAACCTACCTCATGGGCTTCTTGTAAATAACAAAACAAAATGTCTAGCACACAATGATCACTCCATTAATGTTGGTCCTCAGACAAAAGCGTTCTTGACAAAGAAGGTGGCTGGGGATACTCTAATACAGTGCTGATTAGGGCATCAGAAGACATGGAGTTTCTACCTCCACATAGGAAAAATAGCAGCTGAGAAAGGAGCCAAGGGAGCCAGGAGAGTGCTTTGTTTAGGACCAGCCTTCTGGAGCAATTCATAATCTGGATTAATGCAATGCAGTGGCTAGATTCATTGCAGATTTAGATCTTACTTTCTCAAAACCAGCTGGAAAAAAGGGTGCTTTTCTGAAAAGTAAAGAACTGGATGATGTTATTTGGGAATGAATGACTAGAGTGGGAAGAATTGCTTTCCAGCCTTTCATAGACACAAGACATAACTCTTCAGCAGTAAAGATTGTCAACACAAATTTCTCCATAGAAGCCATGAAAAAATATGTCAAGATAGTAGTCTGTTTATGTGCTAGTGTAATGGATAGAAGGCTGGATAGAAATAAGTCTTGTTAAGATAGAATATTGCAGAAAGCATATCTGTACTCTAGATACCAACCCAAAACTATAAAAAAATCAAGATCATCAAATCAAGGCACCTGAATGTGGTCTGACATATAATGCCTAGAGATTTTCGATAAATGATATTAAAAAGATATAAAGGAATTCTCCAAATGGCTGGTCAAATACTATGCTGAACACAAGTAAAATTTACTGTACATGTGAATATTTAATGGACCACAAATTATGAGTATGGAATCCAAGTTCATTTCATTCATACCAAGAAACTAGGAATGATACTGTGACGTAGTAGTTATTCAATATCAATGTGCCAAATATTTAACAAAACCAGTGGAGATGAGGGGCAAAGTCCTGGGGTAGACTACATTCTTCCAGGTCCTGGGGAGACTTCTGTGGATCCCAAGTTGACCAGTCCACACCCTCTGTGTAGGATCTCTTCTTGCTTTAGATTCTTCATGAGGAATCATGAGGCATTCCAAGAAATCTATTAAAAATTACCAACTAACATCTCATACACCTGCAGGTGTTTGGAAGCAAACTTCCCTTATTTGTTTATCTGAGGAGTAATTGCATAGTACTGTAGCCTTCTGTCTCTTCATCCTAAATGACTGAATTTCTCCTTAGAAGTTTTATTTTAGCTGGGTAGGCAGTTTCTCTAAAGGCTATAGTAATGATATGGGTACTTTCTATTTGGAATCCATCATAAATTTTGCTTTGTTGTTGTACAAAGGACCACAAAAATCTAGTGTTGTGTCATGTGACATTCTCTTGCTTCCATCTAGAAACAGTATCTGTGTCTGAGTCACCTCCTTAGGCTCAGTGCTGCACACTGAGGACCGGTGAGGTGTCAGACAGCCTTTACAAACTCATCCCACATTCAAGCACTGTTGCAGGGAATGTAAACTAAAAAATAGAAGCCAGCATTCCTGACTTCTGTTTGGAGGGAAAGGCCTTTCATGCAAGTGCTCATGTATGTGTATATGTGAAGAAATATACACTGTACAAATATACAATGTCTATACAAATATACAATTAAGAAGACAGTACAAAGGAATATGTCAACAGTGCAAATTCTTACAATGTCTCCCAGATATAGGCTAATTGCTTAGAGGTGACCAAAGGATTAAATAGGTCAGTAATGTAAGGCTTTATGGAAAATGTGATCTGTGCAAAGGGGGGATGGGAAGAGAGAATTTAGGAGAAAAACAAAGACACAAATGTAAATGTATAGAATTGATAAGAGATGGCCCACCTTCTATCATTCTACAAGGAAAGTAGATGAGAAGATCCAATTACTCTCACCATATGAA